TTAAACATATTCACTTTATACATTTGTAGGTAAAATATTTGCTGGGAAATAATACTGCAGTTTAGAGCCCCTCAGAACATTCCAGCAGATAAACTTTTGCTGAAAACGTTTCAGGAAATCTGACATCTTCATACAATGCACTTTGCCGAAAGTATACTTCACAGAAATTGTAAAGCCTATTTCTTGATCCAATATTCCCTGAGCTAAACAGTTATAGGAAAATAATTGTTAGTAATACGCACAAGTTTTCCACATCAGTAACTCTATGATGTTCAACTCTATCAGTTGAACAATTAAAAATGAACTTCCCAAGTGAGGATGCTCCTTAATTATAGAAGGAATCAACAAATCATAAAACCTTAGAGCTAAAAGAGTTCTTCCAAGTTTATTTAAACTAATCCTTCATTGAATAGATGATAAACCAAAGTCCAGGCAGGTGAAGTAGTTTAAGTTTCTACAACTAAATAAGAAGCTAATCATAAGATGTTTTACTTACAGCAGGATAAAAATATTTCCAATTCCCAATTATCTTTTTGACCAGACCTTATTGTTTCTCAGTTACAGTAATATATCAATGATATTCTCCAATTGTAGCACTTAAAGCTACCTTGAACTTGAATCATTTTGAGGATCAAATCCTAAACTTAAATAATTTCAAAGCAACCTAGCCTAAACAAAGAAAACTCTCACTTTTCATGACACACAACTGCTGAACAAGGGAAGTAAATACTGTATCAAAATACTTTTTATACTACCAACAGTATTCATGTGAACTTTGAATGGCTTTCTCACAGAGATGATGAAGAATGAATTATAAGATGTAAAAGAAGGAATATAAGACTCTTAACGACCACTATAAAAACTTAATGTGTATCATAAAGATTAAACAAATGTTCAGCCTCTGTTGGTTACTACATAGTAAAGTTTTTATTCTGATAGAACTTACTATACTTTATATAAACCCCCAGCTAGTAGGAATTCATTTCCTTCTGGCCACTTTTGGATTTTATTTATCAAAATGAAATATCAAGAGTGTCCAAAATGAACGCAAACTACAGAAGTCCTGTTACTATAGAAATGTTCGCTGTGGTATTTAAAAGCAAAATCAATCATATATAGAATACCTGCCTATCAGACCCATCATTGTTACATAACTTTCCTTTGTAACTATATAACCATATTCATGATAAGTGATAATGTCGAAGACAGTCTAATAAAGTTTCCTTAGAAGTACCAAATCATCATCCCAAATGAAAGGGAACCTACAAAAACCAGTACAAAACAAGGAACTCTAAAGTCATAAATCACTTTGAACAGGCAACAGCTCAAAATAACTAGAAAATTCTCTAAAGGCATAAGCATCAGCTCCCAAAGTGCCTGTATTTAAAAAGCAACGTACCTTCTTTAAGATGGACAATTCCCAGTGATCAAACAGTAGTAATCCACATAGGGAAGGCATCATCAAAAATCCCAACAACTTTGAAGCAACTCCAAAGAAAAAAGTTTGGCAACTTTTCCTTCAGGAATGACGATGTGGTAATGGTACTTTCACAATGTTCACTGATAGAAAGATCCAGTAAGAAGGATGCAGAGAAGGAGGTGGGAGCACTTCTGATGTTTTCTAGATGCTGACCACAGTAATCACACCTGTACAATTGAAATTCATTAGTGTCAGCTTCCAAGTCATTCTGCACACAGCTTCTTTTTTTAAAAAAGTAACTTTAGCATTAATAGATTTCTTTGACATGAAAATTCAAAACCCGCATAGTTCTGGCAGCTGAATCATTTCTCGCTGCAGGTTTTACTAATGGATACCCTACACAAAATCATAACTTTAAGAAGTTTAAATAGACAGTCTTTGGCTGTTTCCTCCAGTTATTTGATGCCAGCGCAGTTTGACGGTTCATCTGTCCTGTCAAACCGAAAAAGGCGGGAGATAAAGCCAAAGGGTGTGGGGTGGGAATAGGAGAGGAGAGAAGTGATAAATCGCCTTGGTATTTGGAACCATCTCACAAAACAAACCTGAAGATAATGACCTAAATTTGCATTTTCCAGTTCAGGAGCCCTGTTCCACACATTCCTAGTAATCAAACAAGGCTAGAACATGCTACCTTTGTACACTTTCAACAAACTCTCAACTTCTGTCCCTAAATGTCTTTTTATGAACCAAGGGACGGGGCAGATAAACAACTTTTGTGGTCAAGTGCGAAAGGGCTGAAAGAAATGTCCTAGAAAGTGGAGAAGTGTACCAGTGGTGCAGAGTTCGCCTCATCTGAGCCAGAACCAACCTAGAAACACTGGGAAGTGACGGTACTTAAGAAACAAAGTTAGGGAGTCTCCTTGTGCCCGTAAACACTGAGGGAATCGCGCTGCGTCTCCACCCCGAAGAAGCTCCAACAGCCATCCCTCTTTTGGGCGGGCGTGGCAGACAGAAACAAAAGGTTAAAACACAAAAGGCGGGGCGGGCCGCTGGGTCTGGGGAGCTTCTGGCGCTCGCGGTCCTTCCTATTCAAATGCGTTAAATTGGGGCGGGGGTGGGGGCCGCGTGAAGTGAGAGAGGTGATGCTGGATGGCCAGGACCGCATAGGTTATCCTGGGTAGGTCGTGAAACTGAAAGGGGCGGACGGGATGGCGGACTCCTAACTAGTGGTCCAGGCCCATCCCTGCATCCCTGCATCTCTGACAAGTCGAGAACCTGTGGCTTCTTCCTCCTCCTTACCTCGGCCCCAAAGAAAACTTTCTCAACTCTTACCAGCTCGCTCTAAACTCCTGGACCACAAACACAAGGGTCCCATCCCCTACCAGTCACACCTCTTCTGCGTTCTATTGTTGTAGCTTTGGGTATGGTGCGTAGGAATCGGCACAGCGCTCCGCAGACGGTTAAGTTATAAAAACGCTGAGGGAAGGGCCCCCAGCTTCTCGACCTCCTGCCTTCGCAGGACCAAAGTCAGGGCTGGGGTGGGGGTGAGACCCGGCCCAACCCCAACCATCACGGCAAGCTTCCCTCGGGTCTGCGCGCAGCTGGGAGATAGGCGAGTCAACGCCCCCTCGAGACACCCTTCCCCCATGCCCCCAGCTCCTCATATAAAGAGGCACTTGAGAGAAATGCCCGCCTGGCTCCTGCCTATGAAAAATAAACAAATAAAACAATCTGTGCAAGTTCCTGAAGGAACAAAAGAGAAGGAACCCGGGGGTGGGGGGAAAGGAGATACAACTTGGCCAAACTTGGCCACCGGATTGCTTCTCCGTCCTCCCAAGGGCGGGGAAGCCGGGCGCATCGCGGGGGAGAGGGGTAAACAAAACCACAGTCCCCACTCACCTTCTTCCCCACTTGGTCGCACTTTGAAGAGACACTTCCCTTGTCGCGGTCCTCGAGGCGCTCGGACACTTTTGTATGGCCTGACAGCGGAGAAAGTCGCGGCGGCAAAGTTGCGAGGGGGAGATACCCGCGCGTCCGGGGGAGAGGGGCGGAGAGAGAGTTCATCAGAGTTCCCCCTTTTGTTCCAAGTCCCGGAGCAGACAAAGAGGCGGCGAGCGGCGGCAGGTTTCTCCTCTCACCCCTTCTTCCTCTCTCCCTCCCCTCCCCTCCCCGCCCCCTCCCTCTCCCCGCATCTCCCGCCCGGCTCGGAAACCTAGGAGGCGAGCCGGGGCGGCTCCGGCCCCAGCTCGTGGCAACTCTGCCCCGACCCTCTCCGCCCACGACCTCGCTCGAAACTTTCCCCGGGAGATGGCCGTCAGGGCCCCTCCACACCCACCTCCCTTTTACAGCCTCCCAGTCTAACGCGCTCAAGTCTACTGGGAGGGGGGAGAGAGAGGAATCTCCAAAATCATTGTTTCCGGGAGACGCACCTCTTTGTTTGCACTTTCCCTGCCAATCAATGTGAGCGATCCACTTTGGCATCGAGTTTCCGTCAGTTTCCCCTCATCCCAGGAGACCAGAAGAGAGGGGTAAAGGGGTTCACCCCAAAAGATCCAGGCGCGTAGACAACTAGAGGTGGGGGGCCCCTCGGTTCTCCATCCTGGCTCCTCCACTGGGATCGCCCTCTCCACCCGGCACACCAGAACTCAAAGGGGCGTCAAGAAGTGTTAGAAAAGTCTGGCCCCCCGCCCCTCGCCCACCACCACCACCCACTCTGTCCCTTGGGAACTGCCTCTAATCCAGAGAAGGAAGCCCAGCTCGGGGGCCCACCGGGACCTCCACCCCTCGGGACTACCTGTTGCTGCAGGCGCTTCGCGACTTGGTCCAGGGCGCCGAGGGCAGATTCCCACCTCGAGCATCGCGCCCACCCCTCAGGCCCCAAACTTCTCCGAACCACAGACCGCGACGGCAAGGCTTTCCGGGTGACCGCGCTCCCTCTGACCCTGGAGGCAAGCGCTCCTCACCGGTTCCCTCCTCTGCACCACTGCCTTGTCCTCGCTCCAAAAACCGGACTCAGGGTCCCTGGCCGCCTCCCCGACCTCTACCCCCTGGCAACTCCAAGCATCCCGTCTTTCCGCCTCCTCCCCCACTGCCTTGCCCAGGCAAATCGGGTGTCCCGGACCAAGAACAGCTCCAGACCCTCCTCCAGATCCTTTACCAGTGTTTCCCCGACTGTCTGAACTGGGGACCCCCATCCTCACGTCCCCTATCCTTAGACGCTCATCCCAACTGCGGGCCACAGTATTGGCGCTCGGAGTGACTCAGAGTAGCGCTCATTTTCCTTCAGGATCTTACTAGAATTGTAGGGAAGGGAAGCCGGGGGTGGGGGCAACGGGAGAGAATGGGGGCCCGCAATGGAAAGCAGTTTCTAGGGCAAAGGAAAAAAAAAAAATTCCAAAGCAAACATCCACCTTTCAGGAGGTACTGGGCCCATCGCACACCTTCGCCCCCATCCCTTCTCCTTCCCCATCCCAGACTTGGGTGTCTTTGGGTTGGTGCAGTTTCTTGGGGGTAAAGGGATGAGGCAGAAGGAGGCCTGGAAACTTGGGACCAAGGTCGGGAGCTGGGTGGGGGCTGGGGGATGGCTGAAGGAGGAGATGGGGGAGGGAGCGAAGAGCCCCCGCCGAGCCCGGAATGTCGCGGCGGACAGTCCCTGTCCTCCCCGGGCGACTCCTCGCCAGGTCTCTCCCCCGGAGCGGAACAAAGACGCCGCGAGGAGCGCGTCTGTCCTCGCCTCCCCGCGCCCGCACCCCGCCCTCCGCCTCGCTCGCTGGAGCCCACGCCGCCCTCGGAAACTTTGCAACCAACTTCCCCCCAGAGTTCGCGCGCGCTGCGCAGGGAACAGAAGAAGAAATGGGGACAATCGCACGCGGGGACCAGAGATGCCCCTTGTCCTCATCCCTCCCGGACGCGGAGGACCACTCCAGGCGCCGCCGGTCCCGGCCCGCGCTCGGGGCGACCCGCGGTGCCAGGGCGAGAGGCACGCAGGTTTCCGCCGCTCCCTTAAGGGAGCTTCTTTAGTTTGGGCTCCTGCAGGGCTGGGTCTTGAGGTCGAGGGAAGAGGTAACAAATAGAGATGCGGCCGGATGGCTGCGGCTCGGACCTGCGGAGGGAGGCCAGGGCGCGGGAGCGAGCACCAGTGTGGCCGCGCCCGTCGGGCCGGGTGCCGGCGCGCCCCGTCCCGCCCGCCGAGCTCGGCCCGCGGCCGCGAGGCCGCACAATCACGGCCCCGGGGCCCGCCGGCCCGCCGCCTTGCACGTCGCCCGCTCACCTGCCCGGAGCCCGGACACCTGCGCCGCCTTCTCCCGGAGCCTCGGGTCTCCTGGGCGGCCGCTCGCCTACTGGAAACTCAGAAGCTTCATCTGAGGTTAGGGATCTTCAACGCACCACGACCAACCACAGGAGAAAACAGCCCCCACCCACTCCTGTCTGGCACATTTTCCTCTTTGTCTAATTATGATGACTTCTAGAATTCTCTTTTTAGGAGAAGTCTACCCACCACCCACCCGCCCCGCTCGAGAAACCCTTACTTTACGCTATCTTCAGGGATAGGCTTGGGAAAGAACGAAAAAGTCAGTACTTCGAGACAATTCAGTTCTGCTGCCTCACAAAAGTATTCGTTGTGGGGTAGCTCGAAGAGTTGCTGACTTCTAAATCATGACTGTCATAGCAGATTAATGGAATCTATTGAAACACTACCAAACCATTAAAAAAAAATGTACTGTTTGTTTCTCTGTTTTCTCAAGGAATGAAGGGAAGGGCCATTTGCCAGGTGAACAGTCAATGTGGCTTCAAGAAGGCTTTCTCCCAGCTTTCTGGAACACTCCCACCTGGGCTGTTTGAGGTCTCTCTCTTTCCCAGCCTGCTGCAAGACTAAGTGATTTCCTCCCAAGCATCTTGGTCCTTTACTAGTCAGAGCTCCACCACCTCCAATCATGGGCTGCTCCCAGTATGACACTAGCCACTGCTACCTTGGAAAAGGATGCCATTTTTTCTCAGAGGGCACCATATTACTACTATTGTTAAATTAATTAAAATCTAGGCTCAAAAGTGGATGCGTCCATGCATACATGATCAGTCACTTCAGTGGTGTCCAACTCTTTGTGACCTTATGGACTGTAGCCTGCCAGGCTCCTTTGTCCATGGGATGCTCCAGGCAAGAATAGTGGAGTGGGTTGCCATGCCCTTCTCCAGGGGATCTTCCCCATCCAGGGATCAAACCCATGTCACCTACATTGCAGGCGGATCCTTTACCACTGAGCCACCACGGAATCCCCAGGCTCAAAGGTGGATATACAAATGGGCTTAGAAACCCAAGTATCTTCTCTGAACTGACAATGTGGGCGCTCCACTTGGGACTCCACACCTGTCATTCCTACAGTAGGTTATCCACAGCTTCTAGCCTGTGTCTGCGTATTCTGCCTCCCTGTTCAAGGGATTTCTTGAACAGAAAACTCCACTTGGCCAGTGCAGGGGTACAGGCTAGAAGCGCCAGGCAGATGATGCCCTTCAGAGAAGCCCTCAACAACAGCAGCAGATGAAAGTCAGTTTAAAACTACCCCAGGTTCCCCACCTGGGAGGTAGGACTAGACTTACTAAGTTGTGTTCTACACTGTCTCCCCCAGGTCCCCATCTTTGGACCTCAGTTAACAACAGCATTAACTCCCTTTCTAAGGAGCCCTATGTTGGCTACCTTCCTTACCTATCTCCTGGCACCTCTAGTGCTTTCTGCCATTGCATCCCAAACAGGCCACAGTACTTGCCCTTGAATCCTGGTCTCAAGGTCAGCTTCTCCAGGAGCTCAACCTAAGACATTCTCAGACGCGTGCTTTTTAAGGGGAGGAGTCCACTGTCTTCAGAGAATGAAGCTACAAAATGAGACTTTTCCCTGGCAAAGAGGCCATCTGCGCAATGAAAAATATTTATTCTAGTTTATTTTCTAGGTAATAGTCTACAATTATATATTTTACTAAATAAAGTATAGGATCATATCTCTTGTGTAAAATTCTTGTACATATTCATAAGAAAATTTCCTTGAGTCTAATGCCAGCAGACAGCAAAGCAACAGGAAATTCTATCAGAATCACCTTTTTAAAAAATGAGTTAGAAGTAACATATAGGGCTTTTATTGAGTCTCTGGATGAGAGTTAAGGAGGATGGCAAACACATTTCATACTCTATCTTAGTGTGACTTAGTAATATTCCCCAGGAGATCCTATGGTGTTTTTCACCAAAATTTTCACAACATAAATTGGCCAACTATTGCAACAGTTTTTATGACATTACATATTAAATCTTATTCTCTCTCTTCACCATCCTTATGAATAAGTCCTTAAGTATCCACATAGGTATAAGCCCCGTGCCATCCTCCACCCCTAGAACATTCTTTCTTAGGTGGCTTTCACCACTGTTTTCCTTAAGTTCCCCTGTGCTAGCCACCAAAGTTTGTTGTTCTCCCTCTGGGCACGTGTGAGGAACGCAGTTCGCTACTCCCCTTGAATCAGATGTGGCCATGAGACTTGTCCTGGCCAATGAAATGCAGACAGAAATATGTCATTTCCAGGTGGAAGCTTTAAGAGTGAGTGTATGATTTCATGTGCACCCTTTCCATCTGCTACCATGCTGGATAAAGCAGCTAATTTAACCTGAAGACCAGAGTGAGCCCCGTACCCCTACCAGCCAACCTAAGTGGTCATTTTGCATTAGCAAAAAATAACCTTTTCTTGTCATAATGTGTTAGTCACTTAGTCGTGTCTGACTCTTCATGACCCCATGGACTGCGTCCCACCAAGCTCCTTAGCCCATGGAATTCTCCAGGCAAGAATACTGAAGTTGGTAGCCATTCACTTCTTCAAGGGATCTTCCCAACCCAGGGATTGAACCTGAGTATCCTGCATTGAAGGCAGATTCGTTACCATCTGAACCACTAAGGAAGTCCAACCTACTGAGATTTCAGGATTATTTGTAATCAAGATAAAACCTGGCTGATTCTTACTTGTTCAGAGTCTCTCAGTCATTCATCTTTGCAAAGTTACACTTCTGGTTTCTTTGTGGGTTTGAGATCTTGGAAAATGTATGCAGTAGCTCCTCTGAACTCCCCTTAATACTTTCCAGCTGGACTTCAAGTTTAATGATACTGTACTGGGTAAATTGTTTTCTTTTTGAAAGATTATCTTCTTATCTTCTTGCTGGAAAAAAAAAGAAAGCTAGCAACAAAATAGAGAAAAGGGATAGGATTTTGTGGAGTCTGATATACTTCATTTTTGCATCCGCTCCAGAAAGAGTGGACTCTCCCCAATCTTTGTCATTGCCTCACCAACTTTCAGAACTTAACCAACACCATAAACTCAACGAGTCTTTACCAGACTACATTTTAAACTAAAATTCTTTCAACAAGTCGCTTAAATCTTTGGTGAAGTTTTATTGGTTTTATTTACCTAATAAAACTGAGAAGTCATCACCTACTTCATGGGATTGTTATGAGAATTAAGTGAGATAGTAAGTCCCTTAATTGAGGGCCTACATGTTATAATGGCCATTATTCAGTTTCAAATACTTCATGGCTTGTCTCTGAATTTCCCTGGTCAGAACCATTCATAAGAAGGCTTGCCTGTCCTCAAAAGTCTTTCATTTTCTTAATATCCAAGTAATAATCAGTATATCATAAAAAATGTTAAGAATAACAAACAGCCCATCTTTGTCCTTTCCCAGAAGATACCTGGAAAACTGAAACCTTGTTTTATTTCTAAACTCTAAGGATTGTTGGTTTTACTTGTACTCTTTGTTGTTGCTACTGATATTGTTTCTATAATAATTATATCCATTTCCTCGGGTAAAATCCCAAGCTCCAAGGCCTCTACATAAAGCTTCCTCACGCCCTTAATCTGTATTCCCATCACTTTGACTCATAACCACAGCCTGATAATACTGTTGCTTGTAGCAGCACCGTCTCAGGCTTGTGTGCTTTTACTCATGCTATCCTCTCTAAAGACATTTATCCACCTTCTTCCTATTTCTAATCCTTACTCACCTTTCAGAGTCTTCTACACCAGTATGTCCTATAAGAAGTCCTTCCAGAAACCCCAAGTTGGACTAACTATCCCTTCTTCATTTATCCCATCGAATAGCTCTATCCTTTTAGGAAGCAACGGAGTTTTTTTATTAAGATTGTGAGTTCTAAGGACTTCCCTGGCAGTCCAGTGGTTAAGACCTTGCCCTCCAATGCAGCAGGTATAGGTTCCATCCCTGGTTGTAGAGCTAAGAGTCCACATGCCTGAGGGCAAAAAACAAAACATGAAACAGAAGCAATACTGTAACAGATTTTAATAAAGGCTAAAAGTGGCCCACATTAAAAAATATATATATAAAAAAAAAAGTATGTGAATTTCAGAATCATCAATCGGGTGTGTATCACCTGGCATTGCCACTCACTACCTGTGTGACTGTGATCAAGTAACTTCACATTTTTGACCTCAGTTACCATGTATAAGGGCTTCCCAGGTGGCCCAACAGTAAAGAACCCACCTTCCAATGTAGGACACACCTGAGATGCAGGTTCAATCCCTGGCGGGAAGATCCCCTAGAGAAGGAAATGGCAACCCACTCCAGTATTCTTGCCTGGAAAAATCCCACGCACAGAGGAACCTGGTGGGCTACAGTCCTTGGGGTCACAAAGGGTTGGACATGATTGAGCACCCACGCAGGTGCACCATATGTAAAATAACATAACACTACCTGCATCATGGGATTGCGTGGATAAAATATCATCAAAAATGTAAAGTGCTAAGCGTATAAACCTGACAGAAATCAAAACAGCTGTCACTTATTGAGGGCTTATTGTCTCTAGTAGATTTAAATAAAGTTAAAGTAGTAAAATAGCAGATGGTGAATTCCATTTTTATTCTCAGCTTTTCTTCTCAGATATAAAGGTCTGAAACTCAGTAAATTATATCTTCCTTAAGGATGTTAGGCATTGAAAACAAAAGGTACCCAAACTCTCAAGACACTTCTTGTGCCATAAGAGTTATACTAGGAACTACATTTCCTAATCAACAGTGCTTCAGTCTTGATATCAATATATCTATTTCTATAGGCCTCTGTAAACTGTTAGAAGGCACAGAAAGAGCAAGGAATTTAGTGTGTTGTCCATGTATTGGACAGAAGAATATTTTATCTACGCTATAATGAAGTTCTGCTCTATGTAACTATATGTGCCTGAATAATACATAGTAATTCTCCATTTGCCAAATAAGAAATTGTTTTTAAAGTCCATCAACAGAGGAGTGGATAAAGAAGATGTGGCACACACACACACACACACGCACGTGCGCGCGCACACACACACACACACACACATACACATATGTATTTTGTTGCTTTTTATGGCTGAGTAATGGTGGATTACTCAGCCATAAAAAGGAACAAAATTGTGCCATCTGCAGAGGACATAGACGAACCTAGAGATTGTCATACACAGTGATATAAGTCAGAAAGAGAAAAACAAATATCATATATTAACTCATATATGTGTACTCTAGAAAAATGATACAGATGAATCTATTTGCAAATCAGAAATAGAGACACAGACATAGAGAACAAAAAAGCCAGGTGGGGGAAGAGGTGGTAGGATGA